CTACAGAGAAATTTACCTGTATTTCGTTCATTAAGGCATGAAAGCACTTCTATATTTTTCACGGACGAGGCAGCGAGGACAACACCTCGCCCGCTTTGCAACCTGGCAGATGGGCACGATAAGTCAATAGTTGATTTCCGGAACTTCATTTAGGTGTAACCTAGCTGATTTTACGCTTCGGAATAAAGTTTCAAATAATTTCGTTTGCGGAACTCACTTGAGAGCAAATTCACACTCCCGAGAAACCACTTAGAGGGTTTCCATCGTGTATTGTATTTTGCAGATGAGTTCGCTTGAATGCCGTTTCCATTACATGAAATAGACAGATTGTATGTGCCATAGAAATATCATTTACCATGTTGACGGCGTAGCTAATTCATTGGAGAAACTTTCTCGCGTCCTTCTTTACTTTGGACTTTAGTTCGAGGGACAACCTCGAGGCGCATCGACCGCATTCCCTGTTAAGTGCAGAGGGTTCAGTCTTCTCTGCATACGATCTTCGCGTGAATTACATGTTTTTCTTCCATAAACCAGGTTAGACTTCTTGAACAAGGCTGAAAGGTAGTACTTTATGGGAGTACATGGCTAAAAAGTTCAAGTCTATCCAAGTCTGTAAAAACAGACTTGGATACAGTTATTGCTAACAGTTCTACCTCCATAGAAACAAATACAATATGGATGTGCCTATTTCCGACGGCCGCCGCAATTTAAACGGTAAATACCACTTTGGACGTCCAGCAACATCAATGAACCGACAGTCTCTTCCAAGATCCAAGCCATCCCTAACATAACAACGGGAGAGAGAGGTTCTACGTACACCTCCCACTCTCCAATCTGTTCCGATCGATGGGCGCGGTATTACCTTTCTTCCCCATTACCTTTCTTTAACCCCTTCTGGCGACAAAAATTCAACCGTCTCGTATTCCTCTCTGAGAGCATTGGCGTGAAGGAAATTTGGCATACTTCTTCCTCTTTCAACACAGAATCACTCCAGAAAATTTGAAGCTCCATCTCCCTGAGGTTGATCACTTAATCTCGCTTTTGGGAGATGTGAAAGTCGTTCCAGTATATATATACCTGTATATTATATAGTAATGCACCTAATATTAAAGAAAGATATTGGCTAAATAGGCATACCTGTATATATATTTTTTTTTTCTCTCCCCTTAGTAGCCGCTCCTGGGAAGTGTTTGGAGGAAAGAGACCAACCAAACGAAAGATAGGCCTATTGACCTGGAGGTGACAAAAAGTCTTGATTTTTTTGGTTTCGGTGCACCATTTCGCCATGAAAAATGAAATTAGATGCCATTAATTTAGGCTTAGCGCGAAGGGTCCAGTGTTGCCGGATATCGTGCCTTAGTTATCCCAGATTCATTACTTCTTAAGGCCTTAGTATAGTTGTCTGGATCTTCTCTTTGTAATGTAGGAGACATTATTGCGCTGAATTCATGGGATGAGCCGAGATTAAAGCGGTGTTTTGCAATAGACGATCGATTTGGTGGAATACGCAGATATCTTCCGGACATCCCCAGATTAAGATGATGGCGGCCAGTCTCCATGTCGTGCTTTCTAAAGGCACCTTCTTCCCAGAACCAGTCGAGACGATTCGAGGAACTCTGGATAGGCCTACTGTTCCCCGACCACACCGAAACGGCTCGTGAAACTCTTGAAAGACCTACATTTGGTCTAACGTTACACATTCTCTGTTAAATGTGCTATTAGAGACTGAATAGGCCCACGATTGGCCTAACGTTACACGTCATGGACGAGGTGTCTCGAAGACCAGGGATTAATCCTCATAGGCGTAATTGGTCCGTAGGCTGAGAATATAGTTTCTTTTGAACAAAAAAGGGAAGGCGTAGGCCTGACCTTGATGACAGTCCGTTGGTTAGGCCTAGGTCTAACGTTAGTGAGTTCCATAGAGAAGGTGGGGGGGGGGTGAGGTTGAGGTTGAGGTTGGATTGAGGTTGAAGAAAGGTAAACCATTGAAATTGGTTTTCACATTACTACATACGCACTTTTCCGCAGGGATGTGTAAAACGTCCCCGCGAATTACACTTCCTATTTGATCTCTGGAGAAAGGATGACTTCCTCGCCGGTATGAGATCTCCGCCCATATATTCATCGGGATCCCGACCCCTTCGTCAATCGAAACCCCATCCTCTTATTCCTCACAAGGAGTGAGTGACTCCCGAGGGTGAAAACGGCGGGATCCCAAATGTATGGCACAAGAGCGCTTACTCTTAGATCGGAAAGACGACGTCGGCGGCGTCGTAACCATCCCTTTTCATTATCTCCAATTTCTTGAATGGGCCTCAAGCTCCAGACCTGTCTTTGCTGAGATTGCTGGGTCTACGTAGGTGATGACGTTGGTGATAACGCCGCCCTTGCAGCATCACAGTCGCACGATTTTATACCCAGTGTGAGGCATGAAGCGAAGCGAACTTTAATTCGTTTGACGAAGTGAACGTTCAAAGGCAAACATAAGACGAAGGTCGACCACTTTGTGCATGGTAAAAGTGTTGGCGAGTCTCGGCAGGGCATGCTTCCGTATTCAGTAGGGCTGCTCCGATGATCCTGCGGCACGTGCTCCTTCACTCCGCCGATTCGCACCTCAGACCTGCTTTAAACTCTATGAATCACTTCGCACGTGAATCGCGGCATTTTGCTGACCTATTCTCAATCACTCTTTTCTGCCATTAGCCTAAACTGAAGTATTAGACTTTTTTCAGTTGCAGTACGCATTCCTATAATGTTCCTATGGGTGTGCCATCTCCAGTTATTTCTTAGCTCAGCGGCTCTCCCATAGCTATAGTAACAGGAGAACGTAGCGTGGCATGTGGCCATTAACGTTCAGAAACGCGCAGCGGGTTGCGATGTGAATTGCATGAGGCCGCCAATAAAAGCCTGCATACTGCATCGTCCTACGAGTCGACGATTTAAAGCAACGCCTTCTTCTTTGGGCTACCCTTCGTCTTCGATAGGCGTCGTTTCCCCGTCCTTCGCAATGACGATTGATGAAGCGCAGGGGCACACCGAGAAATTGGGAGTGCTTTTGCCGCGTCCCGTCTTTTCTCACGGCCAGCCAGGGGGCAGGAGTGGAGGGGGACAAGGGGCCAGAAGGGCGGGAGTGTGGGGACCGCCTCCCATGGCCATGTGCGCATTTCTTACCTTTAAATACTTCCGTGCTTTTGCACGGGTTACCTACTAGTATGTATAAAGCCTGCAGGTCTCATCGACCCGTGATTATCATCGGCACCCGATCAGTGAATGGAGCGAAAGAGGCGAATGCGAATGGCGTTGAACAAAAAGGTATCCCCCCCATTCAATCATGGACGCTTAAAGTCCCAAGATTTCCGGCAGCAGGGGGGGAGGCTTCATGGTGGGCGATGCCACTGTTCCCATGCGATTATAGGGGCAACTCTCGTCTCTTCGTTCTTCCGAGAGGTGGCGAGACGAGAGTGAATCTCCGATTTTCCGTGAAAGTTGCGTCCCTTCCCCTTCCTGTGGCCGATTTGGAAATTTCATTTTGACAAGGCACATCATCGGATGATTAGGAGGAGTTCTGTCGAAGCCGCAAGTTCATATCTCAAAGCGTTTGGCCTGTAGAGCTTTCACACACACACAAAAACACACAATTGTCGCTTGGCCTAGCTAGTGGTCAGGATCGAGCACGTTAAATGTTTAACCTCCGGTCCTCTGATTTTAATAATTTATTATTTTGAAGAAACAAATCTATGAAAAATTTTAGTACAATTGAGACAGAAGAGTAGAAAACCTGGAAGCTCTATAGCTACGTAAGGTGATGGTGTAGGCGGCTCCGACGTGATTTGACGTTAATGACTATCACGAAGAGATCGCCAGCGTGTTCGAGGTTTAAAATGACTCCGTTGACTCCTTCAATATACAATTACTTTATTGTGACAACCAGCTTGGAAAGAAGTCAATAATAACGAGAACCAGGAAATGGATATGGGGCAAAAATTCAAACTTCTGTTCCCCTAAACGCTTATTAGGCCATAGATACTCAATGAGCAATACCTGAATATAAACTCGTGTGGTATCGGTGGGGCAACAGACAGCATACAATCTCCAGCACTGAAGTAAAGGGTCCACTCAATATCCCGCGTCTTCTCTCAGGTTTCTCCTCACTATTCTATAATTCGACTCCCTTGCGGGACTCCCTCACTTGATATCCCCGACTCCACTCGACTCGACTCGCGCGGCCCTTTTATTCCGTTATGTCGGACATGCGCATTATATTTTACTGTTATTTTATCATCTTCATAAAAGTACCTCCTACAATGGTATGTACATGATTTCCGAAAAAAAAATTGGCTTTTGAGGTCCGCTCTCAAGGCAGAAATCCGATAATATCGGATAGAAAGTCGATCATATTTTTATTAAACGCACTTTGTGTGAAGCTGTACCTTTAGGTTTCTGGTTCGCAGTGGAAAAACCAAACCTCTCCGGGACCCAGGAAGGCTCGCTGTAATTTGATACCTTAGGTACTGCTGCGTGGGGAGAGTTCAGGAAAGGTACGACTTCAAAAGTATATGCCGGGTCGCAAAACTTTCTAGTAAATCCTTGCAGGAAAGTTTCGCAACGGGTATTCGGAAAGACGTAGCGTCTGAATCAGAAGCTCGCAGATATAGCCGTGATCAGAGCCGACTGAAGCGACTTTTATGACTCCATCTGATGATTTCATGAAAAAAGGGAGAGGCTCTGAAAAGAACAATCACAATTCAGAAAGAAAAAAATTGGTGTGATATGATTGGTTTTGCTTGAACATCATCGACAAGTCTTCATTTCCGAAGCAGTAATAAAGGCTTCGCTTAGGAGCTCGAAAAACTTAAGACTCTTGGAAATGTTGCCGAACGCGGCCTTAAAGGTCCGACGAGACGGCGGGCGTGGAAGCGACTCGCTGGCCGTCCACTCGACCTCGGCACCGTCGTGGCGGACGGTGGTCTCGGTGGTGACGGTTTGGTTAACGCGATCACCGCTTTTGTCGCCCGTCTCGATGTGCCAGGTGCAGTTACCGAAGTCGTAGTGCAACATGAGAGGGCAAGGCGAAGGCAGCTCTTCCCAATTCTCGTCCTTTTTCTCAAATACTCTCTCGGTCTTAAAGATTATTTTCAGTTCGTCGAGCGTGTCTTCAAATTCACCAGCAGTCTCGTCATCTTCGAGTTCCTGGAACTCTTCTTGGTGATTTCCATATCCTGCCTCTTCCTTGACATGCTCCTGTGATGCCTTGCATTTTCGACCGAACTCTTCATCAGTAGATTCGGTGTTGAACTCTGCAAACTTCTTCGGTTTCACCCCTCTACCTGCAAGATAAATGTTAGTTCGTATCAATGAAGAGTTGCTAGATGAAAGCGTCGGCTGTTTCCTTTCAGGCTGCAACGAGTAACTGTATCGATTAAGAAGAAATGTTTTCATCTGGGAATCCTTGAGATTCCTAATGTTGGTAAGATACTTTTCTTTATTTGGGTTCTAAATAATATCGGAAAAACCGAGCCCTATCCTTGGAGATCACTTTACCATCCTCCTCTTTAGCGCAAACTCGTAGCGATTCTAGCTAGCGCAAATGGAGATGAGATGAGAAATAGGACATGCATTCGGTTTCGGAATTCAAAGGAGAATGTGATGGAGATAAAATTGTCAACGGCTGAAGGATTGCCAGGAGAGACCTAGAGCGTCTAAGGAGAGCTTTCTCAATGTATTCTTGGCTTTGAATGCGAGAGCCGCGCTCGGGGCTGAGTCTGATTCGATGTTGAGGCGCTTCGTCACCGACCTTGGGGAGGTGAAGCTTCAAGCGGGTTTCCTTCCTGTAATTCATCCGAATTCATTTCCAATTCCTTCTGGTTATTTCTCTCCTTGCTGTCAGGGCGTATTCCTTGGGGGTTCGAGGAATCTCTCGGAGTCGAAAGGGTATGCGGAATCGGTTTTGACGGAGTCAGAAAGTCAGAACTCGCCAATTTTCCTCCAACTTGGCAGGACGATAGGCTTCCACGATCCTGGATCGACGTGCAACTTGAAACACTGAGATCGCGGAATTTCTTCTGGCAGGGGCAAGGGCAGTGACTTCCGTCAGAACCAGTTTCGTATTCGTCTTCATTCGGGAAATCTTCGCGTTCGTACTCCTCCTCTTCGGGGAAAATATCTTGAGAAGCAAATGATTTATTGTAGCAGTCTCCTTGCTTGTAACATGCAGGTGGAGAGTTTTGGCACCTGCAGCCCGTCTGGCAGGGTTGGGAATCGGCACGATCGCAATCACGAGTGAGAATATCACAAAATCGTCCGAGATCACGAAGCAATACATCCACACAGCAACGCACGTAAGCGAGTTCGTTCCCTCCGCAGCTCCGGCAAGTACGAGGCAACGAACACCGACTTATCCATCGATGATAGAATTCGCAGCACGGATGTCCCGATAGGCACTCGTCATCTGCGCAGCAATCTCCTGTCCCTCGGTCGTTCATGAATTCCTGCAACCTGAACGTCGACTACAAACGATTGGCCAACTCTCAATGCAATGTCAAATAATTCAACAAGGTCAAACAGATAGTTACTTTTTTTTCTTATTACTGAGTATCAACTCGCGCTGACTCAGGAAAGTAAGGAAAGGTTGGGGGTCACGCAATGGAATTATGTGGTTAGAATATTTGTAAACTAGCAATAAAGAATATTTATCAACTTATTTATAATCTAAAAATACAGTACAGAGAAAAAAATTGCCTATAAACCAGCGGAATGATTTGGACATGGTAACATCGCCAGAAGAATATGCACTTCGCTTATGAGAATAGGTTACATATACGTTATCACAGGAAGGCATTCACACACAAAATTTTCTTCAAAACGAGTCTGATCGGAACCGAAAGTTGAAGGGAGAGAAAAGCCAAGGGAATGAGGCAGGTGCACGACACGCATTGCCTCAAGTAATTCCGTCGCTAAGCGACGTGGACTTGGCACCTGCGCCTTCTCCCGCTGATGCATGTCGATCTATGAGTCCGGTTCGGAGAATGGAAAAATCTATGAGGTCCTTAATGTCGTAGGGTGAGGAAAGGCCTGGCATGGCTCGAGTCTGAGTAACATCTATATATACTGTATAATACCCACCTGTCACGCTTATTCCCAGAAAACTGTACGTGACACAGAGGCCAGACAGGTGTCAATCGACTCTATTTGAAGTGATGGTTTGCCGAAAATTGTCAAATAATCAAAGTGTTTATTAATTACTAAGTTACTTTTTAAATGTCCTATAATCCATATTCATGGGAGGATAATCTGTCTGTCATTCCGGGAAATTCCTCCTAGGCGGATGAACGGGTTTTAATAATCGATGTGTCAATCGAAAACTCATGACCTAGAGGTGATACTTATTAGGTGAAATGTGCAAAGAGGGTTCTATAACATTATGTCGAAAGCCACAATGTCGCCAGATTTTATGTCGACTAGCAAAGTCGTCGAATGCCACACAATGTCGAATGGACAATGGTCGAATGGGCATAATGTTGATTGTTACAATACCGAAGTCGTCAAAAATGTGGAAAAACGTCGAATCCTGAAATGGCTTATTGAATGCGAAAATTGTGCAGTTACTCCATCATGTTGCAGGGCAAACTTGACGCATTTCAGAGATTTCGCTTTGTTCCTACGCTGCAGTTCATCACAACCGACTTTGAGAGCGGAATTATGTCAATAGTATCTCAAAGTACTTCCTCATATGAAACACAACACTTGCTTCTTCCATTTTACATAAAGCATTTGGAGAAAAATTCAAAGTACAGGGTTAGTCTCTGAATATGCAGATAACGTAGAGTTTGCTTTAGCTATGTGCATGTTGACAGCTTTGGCGTTCGTGCCAGAAGGTGCATTCGAAGGTCTCTTGACCTGCATGCCAACAGCAGCAGCCCCAATCATCGCATATTTTAGAAAATATTATGTCGATGGCCGCTGAAGCAGAGGTCGACCTCGTAGTGGACCTGTTTTCCATCCTAGAGTGTGGAATGTGAGGGAACGAGTCCTTATGGGAGAACCACGCACGACCAATCCTCTAGAAGGATGGGACCACCGATTCAATCGCATTGTAGGCAAGGCCCATTCCAATATACAGGGTGTTCGTAGTTAGACGCAAAATAGGGAATCCTTTGCCGCCTGTATGCGGAGTACCTTCGGCGCCTTAGAGCCCACCGGGTTGCATATCTGGAAGGATTAAACCAATCCCTGGTGTGTTTCCTTGCAATGTCGAAAACACACATGTTGACTGTCCGATTGTCGATTACCAACTATGTCGAATTCCTGAACGTCGATGGAATGAAATGTTGAAAGTGAAAATGTCGAAAGGGAGCAAAGTCGAAATGGACATTTATTTGTTCTGTCAATGAAGTCTTAAAAGTGAATTCGTCATGCCGAACCCTGGAAAAATGCACCTGGTCCAGAAAGAAAAGCAAACTAATTGGCGGTTATATATGTGATAACCTCTGACATGGGGCATTCAAAACTGAACCTTATATGCCACTGCACGCAAGTAATCACGCACTTCGCGGTCGGAGTAGGAAGAAACAATTTTATGAATGCTTTTCCCCGTTGATTCTTCTTTTTTCTTAAGCTTTCGTGCGGAATACCATGATAAGATTCTTTCTTTCTCTCGCTCTTGAAAACATTCCTCTTTCTGCAAGACTCCTAGAAATATATATACAGGGTGCGTCAGCTATTTGAGAACAAAATTTGACTTTGAGGAAAACAAAAATATTCAGTAGAAAAACCAATATATTTTCATAGAATTTGGTACACATGTTCTTACATACACAAAGCAAAAGGCTATTTAATAAAACCACCTTCAACCTCGATTACGGCCTCGATGCGGCTTCTGAAACGACTACATGCGTTGATCAGGTGATCCTTATTAATGTTTGCCATAATGTCCCCGATGGCAACCTTCAACGAGTCCTTGGTATTATGGGCATGCTTGTTGGTCTCCCTCTCGAAGACGCCCCAGACGTAGTAGTCCAGGGGGTTTAAATCAGGAGAGCTAGGAGGCCAAATGTTAGGGGTAACATGATCGTGAAAATTTTCGGCCAGCCACTCCTGGGTCGTGCTGGCTGTGTGAGAGGGAGCAGAGTCTTGCTGGAACACATACGGCCTCCCCCCGAGCCGAGACGCTGTCAAGCCCTGGATTGAGGGAGTGGCTCCAGCAAGACTCTGCTCCCTCTCACACAGCCAGCACGACCCAGGAGTGGCTGGCCGAAAATTTTCACGATCATGTTACCCCTAACATTTGGCCTCCTAGCTCTCCTGATTTAAACCCCCTGGACTACTACGTCTGGGGCGTCTTCGAGAGGGAGACCAACAAGCATGCCCATAATACCAAGGACTCGTTGAAGGTTGCCATCGGGGACATTATGGCAAACATTAATAAGGATCACCTGATCAACGCATGTAGTCGTTTCAGAAGCCGCATCGAGGCCGTAATCGAGGTTGAAGGTGGTTTTATTAAATAGCCTTTTGCTTTGTGTATGTAAGAACATGTGTACCAAATTCTATGAAAATATATTGGTTTTTCTACTGAATATTTTTGTTTTCCTCAAAGTCAAATTTTGTTCTCAAATAGCTGACGCACCCTGTATATATATTTCTAGGAGTCTTGCAGAAAGAGGAATGTTTTCAAGAGCGAGAGAAAGAAAGAAAGCATATGATCGGAGGCGATACCTACTGGATCTTCAAGTCCAATAAATCCTCCTATTTTCATGTAATGAGACCAAATTCCGTCAATAAGAATCACATTCTAATGAACGCCTTCCGGGCTGTGTGCTCACACATCATGACCCGCACTCGACCCGAAACTCGAACGCCGAACAGACAGGTCGATAGCCTGAAGTGTCGATGACGCATTCGCTAGCACCAGACCGGGAACTCGACGATTGTCAACCTCGCTACACTCGCGATGAACAAGTCAGATCGGTCTCATCGAGTCGATCCACATCTCGATCGAGCACAAAATCTTCCCCTATTCTGCCAGGGCGGTCTAAAGTGAGAACTACGGGTTTCACTTTAATGTTACAAAGTTAAACTCGCTGAATATTTGCATTCGGGTGATCGGAGTTTCCCTAAAAGACGGAACGCAACCACTTGGAATTGATTGAAAGCATGTTTGCTTGAAAATTTGAAGTTGTGCTGCTTTAGGATGCTACGAGACGGAACTCACGATATTGTTACAAAAAGGAAGTTGGAATTCTCTCGCGACGGGAACCATCATTCCTTTCTCCATCTGCTTCCTGAGAGCCTTCCTGAAATTCCTTCGGTGTGTCTCATTTTAGTGCGATAGGTGTCGATTGAAACCTTATAACTTGGTGGCAATAATTAATGGGTCGAATGTTCGAAAAGTCTATCCATTTTGACGCCATGGGACCTAATTTCGGCGAGAAGATAGCATTGTACAGAATGCCTTCCCGATCGAAGTGCAAAACCAACAATGAGAGCATGTACCATCTTAACTTTCTGCATCTGCGTGAATCGATAGTCAGTAGAAAAAAATTAATCATGTTCCCATTTATTTGACCTTGTGGACGTATTGGACGTTGTTTTGTTAAAGTGATGTATTAGGAGGCTACGCGGTAAACTTTTATGCCAAGAATATTTGGAAACTAACAATACAGAATATATATCAACTTATTTATAATTTAACAATACGATACAGAGAAAAAAAATCGCTTAAAAACGAGCGGAATGATTTGCACGTGGTAACAATAACTAGAAGAATAAGCATTTGCCTCAGGGGGATAAAATTACATATACCGTACCACAGGAAGGCATTCACTCACAAAATTTTCTTCAAAACCAGTCTGATCCGAACCAAAAGTTAAGGAGTGAGAAAAGCCACGGGAAGGAGGCAGGTGCACGAAATGCATTGCCTCAAGTAATTCCGTCGCTAGGCGACGTGGACTTGGCACCTGCGCCTTCCCCCGCTGATGCATGTCGATCTATAAGGCGGCTTCGGAGAATGGAAAAATCTATGAGGTCCTTAATGACGTCCTTAACGTCGGGAGTGACTTTTCAGACACCCTGTAGAGTGATGGACTTTCGATATTCACCAGGGGGAATGAAGGCGTGTAGGATGGGGACGACAGCAGGAGGAGAGACTTTGTGGAGTTCCTTTTCACCTGGGAAGATAAATTGATTAGGTGCTTCATTTCGAGGCTACATGCACTTCCACTTTTCAAAAAATAAAAAAAATGAGTGTTTGGATATTCCTCTGAGTTATGTTAGTGCCTAGCTCAACAATGGTCGGTTCTCATAATTTCTACTTCAGTGCATCACTAGGTCACTTCGACCCAAACTGAGTTAGCCTCAAATCATCAGAAGTTAAACATTAATCTCAGAATAAATATTTTTAAGACAAGGGAAGGGTAGGACCTGGTACTGAATGCTCCAGTCCCAAGATGACGACCTTGCTGGGTGCTGTTACCCAAGTAGCTGACTCACGTTGAATCAACGTTAATTCAACGACATTTCGTCAACGCAGCTAACACAGAAACCACGTTGTTGCTCAACATTGATTCTACATTGAAAGTTCATTTTCGTCAACAATTGATTAAACGTTGACATCAACGGTATATCAACATCGATTCAATGTTAAAAACCAACCTTGCAGCGTTGCTTCAACATTTGCTTATCAACGTTGACTCCACATTGAAAATTCATTTTCTTCAACAGTGAAGAAATGTTGAATCCACAATGATTCAACGCTGATATGACAGGTCTCAACAATCTATTTAATTCGTACGCATGGGCCGTTTCATGACTGAATCATCTGGACACGATCTCAATCCTCCGAATCCGCTTTTTTAAGATCCCCCCATCCAAGGACAATGCGAACCTAATGCCGTGATGAGAAAGAGGCATCCTGTTCCCCCGGAAGCAGGAGGACACCGACGCGATTACCGCGATTTAATCATAAGTTACCCTCACTCCATGCACCCTTCGGCAGTGATCATGATTCGGATTCATACTCGAAACCAGGGCGACGTGGTCTCATGGAGTAATATGACCTCGCATACTATCTTGTGTCCATCAACCTGCTCAGAATTATCCTGGGTCTTGTTTGGTTCGGTTGCCGCATTGGTGGAATATGTCCAGGAAGTCAAATTCCTTCCCAGGCGTCGTTTGTGGAGAAAATATCAAGTACTGTTCCAAAAGTACTAGAGACCCGTACTGATTGCATATACTAGTATATGGTAACTAACCATGTTGGGCAAGCAGTCGCCATCACATTTCGCAGTCAGGAAATATTGTTTGTTCGTATGTCTCGCCAGATGTCTCGCCAGACATCTGTTGATGTAACGTTGACCGGACAACGTTCTCACAATATTGAGCTTTTCAACATCGAATCAACATTGAATCAATGTTAAAGGATTGACTCCACGCTGACGCGTTCTTTCAATTAATATGTGAGCAATGTGGCTGCGCTGAAGTTGTTTCACGTGAGTCTGACCTATTATTTCGATACGTGCTAAAGGCATTCACAATACTCAGATAATCGTGCTAGTAATAAAAAATACTAAAGCAATAAAAAAAAACACATTCATATGGGAAACACTACAGGAAGACCATGTACCATCAAGACCGTCCCAGAAAACACAATTTTTGTATTATTAGTAAGGAAAATAGGAATGATTTTAGCAGCCATTACAGTTCAAGCTTAATTAAAATATATCAATCGAGTGTCGTCACGTCATTTCTCCTACACCAAGCCCTTGATGGCATACATTAACACGTCGGGGCCAATTTCGGGAAATAGGTCTGACACGGTAAGGTTTCGAATCGGTGCTCCTAGTTATGCGAGCCGAAATTGCCATTCTGCTTAATCGGTGCGACGAAATTGGAGTGCCTTTCAGCCACTGTCTTATTTGCTCAAAATCGAACGTTCCTCTTGAAAGAAATATTTCCTGGTAGATCGGCTGAAGTAATTAAGTAGTTGCAAACACTGGTGGAGAAAGCATTAAAAATAAATCATTTACTGCAGGGGTGTCAAAAATACGGCCCGCGGAGGTGATTCATCCGGCCCGCCGCCTGTTCTTGAAATTTCCGCTTGGATTGACTGTTAACAAAAGTTTCGGTGAAAAAGTATAGGTGCGGCCCGCAGGCATCTCCGGGATAAGGAATGCGGCCCGCCGACCGATTTGAGTTTGACACCCCTGGAGTAGAGGATAAAAGCTTATGCAGAACAATTTGTTAGCATTTTGGGAATCGAGAGACATACAGCGGCTGGATGAGCGTGACCTCGCTTATATTATGGGAACTTTGTATTCCTTGAACGAACTGCTAAATGTCAGGTCAGATGGAAGGCCTAGCCTCTAGGATGGAAGACCGTAAGAAGTTGTCCTGGAGATTCCATTGCTGGACGTCCAAAGGATGCTCAAAGAAGGACTGACACATCGTTTCATTCGTATTGTCGAAATCTAAATGAAATCATGCACTGGTCTAATTATAATGTCACACTTTCTATATATTGATTGAAGTTATAGGATTGGGACCTAAGATGGGAGATAAGAAGAAAAAAAAGAACAAAATAAATCCCACGATCGGATCCTCGTAACCATTCCATAAAACCTTTATTCAATGAGATGGAAATAATTGTGTTTGATGTAGGGAAATTTTGCTCGAATAAAGCTCAGAATGCATGAGAATATATCAATCCATGGCGTGGGCATCCTATGTACATCCAACGGACGACCGCCTCTGGACTTATATCCATCTCTGGACAACTGGACTGTCCATGAACGAGTTTTGGATCACCCATGGCTACTTGGGTCATGATGATTGGAAGCAGTCATTTCTACTGTATAAAAAAAAATATTGCAACCGTAACAGTTCCAGGCTAGGATTTAAAAACAGTAATAAGGAACAATCCAATTTTCGAATGTATGAGACAAGGAACCCAGTACGTAAGTAGCATTAAGCTGTGCATGTATCAGGTGGACTTGAAGCTTGTTGTTGTCAATTAGATATTTTTATTCCAGTTTACTAGTACCTGTTTCAGGGAGGGTAGCTAAGGTCTTTCCCGGTAACCTCCTAAGCTAATTTAACCCTTTAATGCATGATTTTTTCTTTTTCGGCGAAAAAAATCTGGTAGGTTTCCCTCACGTCCTAGAACACGGGTCACGTGGAAAAAATATTTTAAAATCAAATTTGTGGCCCGAAAATGTTATTGTTGCTCATTTGCTACAAGCAGCATTTTCAGCTTTTTAACCCACGCTGCATGGATACTAGAGAGCTCAGTCGGTTCGTCAATATTCGTACATAACCTCAACAGGGCCGCCCAGAGGGGGGGGGGCCTTGGAGGCTCCAAAGTGCCTTGAGGCACTTTGAAGCCTCCAAGGCTCCAAAGTGCCTCAAGGGGGCCCCTAAGGGGTCTCCAGATTAGTTTTGCCCTGGGCTCCTGGAAACCTCTGGGCGGCCCTGTACCTCAACACGAAAGAAAAGGTAAAATTACGGATGAGCTTGGACCCTGGATTAGCGTAAAGTTTAAGAAAATTAAATAAAAAACGTCAATCTGCCATACGACGAAGCTATATTGGTTTTAATTTGCTTGCCACCAGGAGTGTATGGCACCTAGCGACCATAGTTGCTAGGTATAAGGACCGGACTGTTGCACATCTGCTACGAACAGATTTACCTCGGGAGCTCGCTACCTGCGCATTCTAAAAATGTTTATTTGGCAAGTAGCATGTCTGCTACGTCATGCATTAAAGGATTAATATATATTTCCCGTGTAAAAAGAAAGTTGGTAGGATGTCAGAGCGATTTAGGATCAGTGGCGGCTCCTGGGAGAGGCCTGGGGTGACATGCACCGGATCCGTTTAAGCTAAACTAATCTTACAATAATCCCCTATGGGAATCGGTTTCACAGAGAAAAACTTATTCCCATAGACACCCATTACGAAAACGAATCAGTTAAACGAATCTGGTGCATGTCACCACTGGTCTACCCTAAAATTATTTAGAGCATGCACTTATGCACTTTCCCATATGACTTCAAAATATTCATTAAGTGCCTCGAATTCACATGGGAAATCTCTGATCTATTGAATTCATTCGTAATCGATTCAAAACGAGCTAAATCCAGTCTGTGACAGCTGAATTCTGTCCAGAATCGCTAAGGAGAGACCTCCTCTGACCCATAATTAACACAAGACCCCGAGGATTGCTTTCCCTGTTTTCAAATGAGAGGAAAATCTTTTATTTTTCTGATATTTTGAGTTTACAGGAGGTGGAAGGAACTTTTGATCATCTCTCTCGTAATAATAGAACGTACCCAAGTAGCACGTAGGTGGCGGACCACCAGTTACGTTTAGGGAATAGAGTTGGAGGTCCATCAATCAAGCAATCAAGGGTTACAAATTCTTGAGTCATGATTACTGCAATCACCTATTCCTTGCTTTGCTTTGTTATTAGTCCTTTCGCCCGCCTTGGGTTTTTAGTATTTAGCTCATTTTACTCTTAGAGTTATTTTTTGTCTCATTTACTTTTTGGTGTATTTTTACTCATTCTGTTTTTATCTTCTCGGCCTTCTCCTCTGATTCACATATCTACCCTTCTATGGTCTATTCATGAGATCTCAATGCGTTTCTCAAGTCTCCGCTGCCTCCTTTATTGAAGGCAATAAACATTTAATGGGCAAAGTGTGCTTTTTAAGTTGAATTCATTCACTATGCAACACTGTCTGAAAGATGGCGTCTAGGAGGAAAGTAGGCGACGCCGGCGGTTTGGACAATGTTATCTCATCACCAGAAGTAGGCCTTATTGATCTCTCTCAACCAGAGTTGCTGTCCAAGGAAGTTCTTCTACAAGTTCTGTCTGCTGTAAGTGAACCTATTATTTTCTTCAATTTGATTTCGACATTTTAAGTCGACACCAATGCATTCAAAGTCCTGTATCCAAATCACAATACATTTCACTTGGGGCTGAGCATTATTTCATCCCATTCATCCCTCCAGTCAGCGTATATTTTTATTGGCAGTGCATTTATAATGCAATATTCACGAAAGCAATCACCTGAAATGCTAATTAATTACTTTTTCATTTTAAAGACCTACTAACTGATGCATTGGCACACCTGTTGTTTAAAATCTAAATCATTTTTTATGACAAAGAGCTAAAAGCCTAATTGTGAAATATTTTGCATGTGTTGCTTAGTTTATGCATGGATTTTCAAGCAAGTATGAAAAAGATAGCACAATTCTCAAGCTTTCCTTGGTATACCCTGTTCATCTAAGATTGGTATGCCAACAAAGCCCCAATCCTTTATAACATCCATTGCCACAGACAGATATGGACCTAAGTCTCTTTGATATTGCATGACAGTGCTTTCAGAAAGGTTTCCTCAGGTTGCTATCAATTTTGGCAACATTGATTTATGACTGGTTGCCATAATGCAGGGATCAGGAACCTTTTTGACCATGTGAGCCATATTAAGATAGAGCTCAGTGCTTGTGAGCAAAAGATTTTCAGAACAATAGAATTTTTCCTGAAGTTGGCAACAGACATACACATTCTTTCATGCATGAAAAAATGAGGAACAACCATGATTTTCAGCTGTGACTCAATGAGCCAAACTTTTCAGCTTGTGAGCCAAATTTGGCTCATGAGCCATAGGTTCCTGACCCCTGTCATAATGCATTATAGATTGTTTTTTCTTTCAGCAAACTTGTGCTTAGGATGATGAAGTGTTTTATGATATTGGAAAGTGGGAAAATGGCATCATCTATTTGGGTTACAAATGATGTTACTGGTTACACATACAGTAATGTTTTTGAGTGAAGATAGCCATAATGCACCAATTTGGCACATCTTAAAGCACTTTTGCTTGCTGCCTTCATGTGACCTTTTCCATAGAAAACAATAAATAAATAAAAACAGTTGACAGAAGTATAGTCCAGAGACTGCTGTCTGAGCCAGCAGTATGGTTAAAATTCCCACTTAAAAGTTGACATTGTGCCTTCTGCATTTTCCTGTACATGAAATCATATAGGGTAGGTGTTACTAATTCCAACCCCCTTAAGCTCAAAATCCACTCTCTCACCCAAGGTTTGGAATTCATTTTTTGAGATCCATGCCATTCAAGAGGAAAATGTGCACTCTACCCATTCAGGTTCAGAGACCAGATATTGTTCTCTGGTTGAAAAAGGCTGTTTGGACTTCTGATTACATTGAAATATGTAATGTGGGAGCAGACTTCATAGCAGGGTTGGAATTTGTATCACCTACCCTTAGACCAAATCTTCCTCATGTGAGAGAATGAGTGAAGGGTGAAGATTATGTTTGCCCTGGAAACCAGTGACAAGTAAGGTGCTTCAACCACTACCTGGCCTCTTATACCTCACATTGATTGCTGAACACAGTCAATAATTTGCAACAGCCAGGAACATGCCTTGAGCCTGCCTGCGAACTTTGCTATGCTGTTTATATTGGGAGTTCAAGATTATATCACTGTGGAAAAAGAGTGCTGTAGATCCTGAGTTTGTTGAAATGAAGGAAAGAAAATGGTTTATTTCAAGCTGGAACAGTAGTGCAGGTGAGGCAAATTCAGTTCTATTGATAAAAAAAAGAGAAAAGAGCATCAATAAGGTGTTAAATTAAGCCTGATTCAGGAGTCTTGTGATGAAGAGAAGTGTAGACTTGTAAAAGCATTGTGTCTTGAAGTGGAATGCATTTAGATAATATCACTGCAGAGACGCTGGTGGACCTGAAAGGGGGGTGGAAGCAAGACATAAGCAGAGCTCATTTTTTATATTGATAGAGCAGTAATATTCTCCCCTTTATTCTTCATCCCTTTTCCACCTCTTCTGCTGCATCAAGAGTTTACACTCTTTCAGCAACAGAACACAGTCTCCAGTAGACAACATAACTGCACAGTGTTCTCTGTATTGATCAGCTCAGATGATGCATTCATGGAAACAGACATGGTGTTCATGTCACACAAGTCACATAGGCAGGCTATTATACAGATAGTGAATATAGACAAGAGGGGAAATGGAGGGGGATGAACAGGCTGACTGGATGGGTGCCTGAACAAGTATGCATTGAAATTATATATTGAAAGCTAGAAAATAAGATGATGGCTGGAAGACCTGCTATTTAAAGTTTATTGTGTCTTCCATTGCTCCTTGTCATCATCATCATCGCTCATGGTCTGAAGATCATAGAATGGATTAACCTTCATGTTTACTCATTCTGCTTGTAATTTCTTTTTTGGTGTGTGAGCAGCGGCACATTTGCAAAACCCTGAATGGACTGCAGAAGGAAGAACTTGTGGAACTCTTTCACAAATACATTGTCCCTCTTCCAAGAAGGGTCCATCGTGAAAACCGGCGTGGGAAGTTAATGTTACAAGCCCAATCCTTGCAAGACAGGTAAGCCAACCATTTTAACTTAGCCTTAACTACTTTCCTAGTTTCTTGTTCCCCATACCCTGCTTTTGGCATATTATTGGATTGCTGTCTTGTAATCTTCGTTATTCTCATTTCATATATCATTGAGTCTCTTGACCTTTCAATAGCAGCATTGAAGAAGAGAGAACTACAAGAGGAGCCAATGGGGAAAATGATACTTCAAAGGTGGAATGTGAGAGACAGAGTGGAGAATCCCGAATGAAACCTTGCCCACTTGTAACTGAAGGACCATCAAGAAGAGTCATCAAACTGTCTCATGCAAGGATTGATAATGCATCCCAAAGGAAAGCCAAATCATTTCAAAGCCCTAGTGACTTTCAAGACAAAAGAAAAGGCAGTGAGAGGATTTCACTCAAACGAACATCTGAATCCGAAGACTCTGGATCATTCAAAGCCTTCTCGAAGCATGTGAGTTTTTGTAGATTTGACCAAGTGTTGCCAAATCCTTTTTACTGAAGGAATTTATCTTCACATGCAATATTGAATACCACTATTTCCATGGACAATTTTGTAGATTATCTCAAAATTCATGGACATATTTTAACCCTTAAACAGGTACTGGCATATACATAGGTAATGTAATGAAGGTGTTTAAGGTAAGAGCAGCAGGTTTTCAAGCAACCAAAGTTCAGCAATCTCAAGAGTCCCTTAACAAGCATCATCCTACTATTGTAAAAAGCCTGGCAGACGAGAGGTTCCAGGCAGAAGAAAGCTACAAAGGAAAGGATGCTGAAGCCCTAGGCTAGATTATTGATGCCATTTGACTGGTTTAGGTATTGCAATATTTCATAACAAAACAATTTATAACCTTTGTAGGATGAAGGAGACAGTGGTTTTTCACCTACCAAAAAGAGGAAGAAGATTACTTGGCCCTGATCATGTTCTCATATTTTTCGCCTGCTTGATTTTATTGCCTACTGTGATTATTGACTAGTGGCTATTGGTCCTATCACTTATGATAGATTGCTGATCATCTTGACTGGTTGTCTGAATATTCAGAAAAAGCCTGACAATCATAATGGGAAGTTATGAAGCAAATCTGCTGGTCACATAGAAATGGGCTTTATGTCAGCAGCTATGCAATCAGCTGTAGAATCTTCCAATTGACTGATTTCTATGTTTGAAGGAAGGCATATTGTCTTTCATAGAATGACCTCAGCCAATAAAATGCTGTCAACAAGTTACCATGCTTTTTTTTTCAACATGTTTCTCTGTTTCCAACATGACGTCTTTTGTTTTTAAAGACACAGTCGGAACTTGAAGAACATCTTAACTATACTTCCCAGGTCTGCGTATGTCATCCGATTTATTTGTCGAATTTCTATGTGGGAAACCGGATGAGGGTTATGATATTGAAGACCAGAAAAACAAATTTTCGGTGAAAAAAATACGACGTCAAGGGGTTAACACGAGGCGATACGATTGCACACCATGCAAGCCATGAAGCCCTTCCATTGCGACTGATGAAAATAATCCAACATTATCGACGAAAGAGGACCTCAGGACCTACTCTACTGTACCTTATAATCACGAACCGATGTCTAAATAAAATGGTTCGTTATGGAAAATGCTCGGTTCAAAAATCACTTCTTTGATAATAGAGCATTTTCCTGGAAATAAAGCTGCATTATCGGATAATGCTCTTAAAAAATCCACCCTTAGTTTTTTTTTGTTGTTAAATCTCAAATCTCACGGCACACAGTTCGGGAAACACTGCGTTAGATAATGACGTAGTGTCTGCCCCTTCCGTGACTATTTTAAAGAGACTAGATGCTTCTATGGACAGAGCAAAAAGTGGGGCAATGTAGACGAAAGGGACTAGGCAGTAAGCGACTAGGATATGCTAAAAAAAAATAATTAAATATACCCAGTATATATGTTATGCGTAATTCGTGCAATTGCTTATTGCACGCATTGTGCAACGTCTACCTTCACTTCCAAAGCTTCCACCCTAAATACGTCAAGGCGTCTCTTCCCTTTGTCCAGGCTCTTCGACTGAAGCGCACTGCAAGTCCCCTACAGAGTACCAGAAACATGTCAGATCTCTTGGGCAATCTCCAGCAACGTTTATCCTCTTGATTCCCTTCAAGCCCCGTTTCTTGGAGCGAACCGGAAGAAAAGACATTCTTCAATGCACTGAAAGAAACCCTAATCCAGAACGCGCGCTTGTGATGACATACCACCCTTCCTTGTCAAGGATAGCCCGCATTATCCAGCGGAATTTCCACATATTACTGGCGGATTCAAGCCTCATTTTTCCTGAACCTGCTATCAGCCTATCGTCAGCCTTCCAACCTTAGGCGAGAACTTGTCCGTTCTGCCATCAATCCCAGTATGCGACCACCGAGGAGGGGAGCATCATGTGGAGGCAGACGTTGCGCCTTTTGTCAACACTTTGCTTCACTTCTCAGAACAATTTCATTGCAACTCCTCAAATGTTGTTTACTCCCTCAAGTGCAAAAGTGACATGGAGTACATCGGTGAAACAGGAACATCATTCAGACTGAGATTTAACAACCACAAAGCAAGATCAGGAGATGCGATCACAGTCTGCCCATATCCCCCCACGCTTCAATCAGTCGCATCATTCATTGGCGGATCTCCAAGTTGATATACTTTGTGGAGGTGAATTCAGGAACGCAAAGGAAAGGAAATGAAATATATCAAGAGGAAGGCCTACGCTGTAGGACTGAATAGGAATATGGGATTTTTTTTTGTCAAACTACCGCTTTTCTAACCCAACTTTATAGTTGGACAATCGTGATTGGCCTACTTTTTACCCTCGAAAAAGACAATACAGTGGAAACGTTGGGGAATTTTTTTTTATTTTTTACCAATTTTGGTTGGCTGCGAGGTGCATTTTTCCGTCCCTGATATATTTAGGGTAAACACGCCGGTTTCTGGCCGGTCTCCAGTTGTTGGTCAGTGAGGCTTAAATCCACCATAATTAGTTAATCTGGGCGTTTTCAAGCATTTTACAAACATTCCCATACGAGGGCCTATTACTAGTGTTTCCTGGTGTGCGCACAGGGTGTCCACTTCCTATGGGAGTCGTATCAGCGTGGCCAAAAACTGGTGTGTTTACCCTAATATACAGGGTGGGCACAAAAAAAAACAAAGCTGTCATTTTTAGTGAGTCGTCAATTTCTTTGTAGGTTGCCGATTTTTATTAATATTGGTAGACCTATAGGGTGATACAATTGGAGTTTTTATACCAAAGTTGAGCTTTCTGGCTCCAAAATGATAGCTGTAATTATTTTCTGATGACCAACAACAAAATGTGCTGTCTAAAAAATCGATGTGAATTTGACACTGGGATGAAAGGGAGGTCCGAATTAATGAACTTCCATCCCTGCATGATGCTACAAAGGAAGATTGGGAGGCACTGCCTCAATGGTTTATTGACCGAGCCATTGATCTGTGGTGTCCCAGACTAGAGGCTAGTGTTCAACAGAATGGAGGGCACATTTAGCACCTTTTCAGTTGAAATGAACGTCCCTAAACCAAATTGTGTACTTTGGTGTTTGGCATTTGTTTTTGTTTGTTTTTGTCAGTTGTGAAATATTTTAAGCTGAAAGAAAAAATGAACACTTTGCTTTTTTGGTGATGAAATGCAAATTAAATGCCAATTTCACAGTTTTTGGACTTTTAATTTGAAATTTGGCACACAAACCCAAATTTAATCCAAATTGGCAACCTGCAATCAGATTGACAACTTACAGCCTGTTCTTATGGCAGCACTTCCTCGATGACCTGCGTCAGCCGGGCAAGTAACACCCTCTGCATCAGCTTCATAGTCGTCGCAAGGAGTGAAAATGGTCGGCAGCTGGCGGCTTGCATATGGAGGTGCGCGATAAGGTCAGAACAAGGGTAAGCCTCGTCTGCAAGCTCGCAGGCGCCACGTGGGGCGCTGGAGCATTCACGCTTTTACCAGCGACACTTGCGCTGCTATATTCGGCTGCTGAGTACTGCACCCAGGTATGGTCAGGTAGCCCCACAGCAAGACACTAGACCCACTACGCAATCCAGCGATGAGTAGTGAAATTAATGTCCATCGAATGGCTACCACCATTCGATACCACCAAACCACCTCCCAATATCAAAAGAGATGCAACAAAATTTCACGTCTTAAGTCGCATCATGGCCAACCCAAACTTGCCAACATAAGAGGACCTGCAGAACTCGCCATGGTCTCGCAAACCATTTTGGAATCGAGTAAAATCCTTTAACGTGCCCGCATTCCAACTCCTAGGTACAGTGGCAAGCCGCCTGAGGCATTGCCGACATCCCCCAAGAACCTCCCATCCTCGCTCTATCTAAACCACATCCGAAAATCCCTAGGCAGATGAAGCTACCTCCTACACCGGTGGAAAATGAAAAACAGCCCACACTGTGACTGCAGACATCAATATCAAACTATGGAACATATTCTTCAAGACTGCTCACTTTGCTCAAATGCTGACAGCATCTCAGACATCCATGAATTCAACCTATAAGCCTCCAACTGGCTTAATCATCTCAAAATCAATATATAAACGTTGCTAATCACTCCACCATATAAAAGAACAAGGTGATATGGATGGTTTACATTTCCACATGATTAGCATCCTTGGTCAGTTCTTGGATTCAATTACCAAGAAACTGCTAGTCTTTATTCAAGGTATCTAAGGTGTCTTATCAGGGGCAAGACATTTCTCCATTCCATCAAGAAAAACAGACTAAATCAGATAGGACTTGAAGCAACACTGCAAATGTGAATGGAAACTGCATAGCAAAAACTGAGAAATACCATAAAAATTTGAGAGAAAAAAACTTTCAATATTCTCACAAATTTATTGCTCACAGACAACAGGAAACTACATACTTTTGTGATACTGGTCCCAGCAGATGATACTATGTTGAAAGTAGTTTTAATAGCCAAAGAGGGTGCAAAAAGAGGATAAAGGTATAAAAGTAAGAATAGAGAGCACTGGGGTTATAAGAGGAAAAGCTTCAAGCCTTGGCCAGACCAATAACTCCACAAGCAATGCGACCACCGGCATTTCCAGTAGTCTTGCTCAATTCATGACCACCCCGACCAAGATCATCAGGATCAGCATGGACCTGAACAAGAGGAAGATGGATGATTTTTGTTTCACTCACACTTCACTTGTAAGTGTATTTAGCACGAACTCACAACAAGAGTGCGGCCAATGATGTTCCTTGGCCCCACGAGGGAGATGACTTTGTCCTCTATGTCTACATGTGCTACACCATCTGCACCTGCTTCTACATTTCCCAAATCTCCTGTGTGTCTCTCTTCATCCTTTGGCCCTCCATGTGTCTTGTTGTCCAGATTGAAGTGAGCTCCTGCACTTGTGCACCCTATATGTAAATGTTGCTCTTCAAGCAATTATGTGAAACACACCAATGAGACAGCTTGGCACATGCATGACTGACCTTACCATTGGTATTATCTCCAAATTCATGAACATGGAATCCATGGAGACCCTCTGATAAGCCCTGAATCTCTCCTGTAACCTTCACTGGTTCATTTGGGCTCTGAGAAAGGGAAAAAATAAAGATCATAATAAACAACTAGCAATAAGTGGACAAGCATGACATGGGAAAGAGTCCTCAATTCAAAAAGATGTAATGCAGGGAAGAAATAAGCCTTAGGGGTCCAGAAACACAATTATGCAAAAAAAAAACTTAAAAAAATAGATATAAACAGCAGTGTGAGCCACAGTTCATTTTTGTTTAAATGATTTCAGTAGTTTATTGATTCACTTGGGCTGTTTTATTTCCTGACATTCAGAATCAAATGCATAAAAAAGTCATATTCCTGAAGGTGTCCATAAATTTCCAATTTCACTTTGTGGAGGTGAGGAAAGAAAAAATTAGTATGAAGACACATGTGGTTCACAGAAAAGGAGAATGACTAATAAACTGCAGCCTTTGGCTATATACTCTGTTCACACAAATTTGGGAGAAAAAAAATTCAATAAAAATCCCTTGAGGAGTGAGAGCCAACAGGAAACCACTTGCACTAAAACTACAATTACAGCTACAGCTATGAATCAAAATTGCAATATGATCAAGACACTCCAGTACTTTCTTAAAGCATAACAACATTCAAATATCTCAAGCCCAAAACATAACAGGTTAGGATATTTCAAATCCTAATATTATATTATAGCATGACGATGCTGTTCCAAGAGGATTGGTACTTCTGCACCTCAAACAATGACTGGCTGCCCTCACTAACCACTTTAGCAACAAAATCCACTTCCTGATTATATATGAACACAATTGGACAGCAAAACATACAAACTTCTCATTTACCTACATCACTATTTCTGTTTGGTTCATAGGGGGTTATGAAGGGTGATCAGGAAGACACAGAAAATCTATTTCATTGCCCTCATAAAAACTGTTTAAGCAAGTTCATAATGGAAAAATGTTCAGATAATTACTTTACCATTACAGTCACAAGGTCTATTGGCGGAAAATTATAACTACATCATAAATGCCTCCCTTTGCTGAAAACAAGGAGAAAGTAGAGCTATTAATATAATAGAGCAGGGGTTCTTAACCTTTTTGCACCTACAGACCCCCCAGATCCTCAAGTATTACCCATGGACCCTCACCCCTGGTTATCAGAAACTTTGGAACACCTGGATTTGTGATTATAAAAGGTTGTTTTTTTGGGAGCTACCTTCAATTATATATTTAATTTTCCAAGGACCCTCCACGAACCCCCAGGTTAAGAACCCCTGCAATGGAGCCTCAACATGATGTGAACTTGAATTTTTGCAGGTTTAGAAGTCAATGCTGAAAAGCTTATGAATGTGTCTTCCACATTTCCCAACAAACCCAGATTTACTTTGGTCCATGTTGGTGCATTTACAAATCATAAAAAATACTGTGACAAATTGGTGATGAAATGATTTCAAGTTTTTGGTTCAAATGCCCTCATCCAGAGAATCCCAAAGATGACTTCTGAGAAACACTCATCAGGCTGAATAATAAGTTGCACTACTGTGTGAAATTTCTCTTTTTATTTATTTTTTAGATTAATAATACATTTATGCAAGAGTTACTCTTAAAAAAAATACTGTAAAATATCGACCACGTATCCAATGTAATTTTCCCCCCAGCATTTATGAAACTGTGTTTCTCCCATCAAAAAAAAAGGTATAGTGTTTTTTTTTTTAACCACCTTATATATATATATTAAACATGAGAACAAACCAACTTTAACAAATATTTAGGCCAAAAAGTTCAACCTAGAGTTATTAATGCATGATAGTGGATAATGCTATAAAAATCAATTTCATTCATGATGGAACATACATTTTGGGTGAAATGGACAGTTCCCTTGACCTCACCCTGAAGAACACACACAGCCTTCATTGTCATGGCTTTCAGTTCTTGACCTACTGTAGAATGCACATGTTAAATATCAGATGGATTCTGGCTTTATTCTGTTTTCAGATTTTGGCTGGAGGCACTTAGAATGAAACCTCTACACTGTTTTCAGACTGAATTTTTACTCCCCTATAGGTGTGCTTCCATTGAATACAGGTAGTGACATCTTCCACACAGTTAGTTGTGCCTAACATCTGATGAAGCAGAACCTCTAGAAGTTGTTTCCTCCATTCTCTACAATGGGGGAAGGTATATGAATTCAATCTGAAAACAGTGCATGTATACCACATAAGCAAAAAAATATATAGCTAAAATATAGATCCACATGGACTCCATGAAGATCCTGATGAAATACAGACTGCCTTCAACAAAAATAAATCGTTAAATGGGGCTGATATATTTTAGTTGGGCCAAGACATGTCATAGCAAGAATTTGGCTAAATGATATCAAAGTCTAGGTTGGACTATATTGCATCAACACTTGTTTCACCCTTTCCCTAATGGATGATCACAGGACAGGCCTTAGCACAGTTCAGATTATGGAAGATTCTCACATTCCAAGAAAGATCATTGATAGCAATTAGAAAATTCTTAGGGAATTCCATCACAAATGCAGCTTGGGACCAGTCCTGGGTCCCATGCCATAGGCATTATATGTTACTTTCTTGACCATCCTTGGCTCCTATCAGACTACAGACATAATTGATATTTTAAATATAATTTCTATCAGCTTTCAGCCAATTCTTTCCTTTTCTTTCAATAAGGTTAACTTATGCTCAATCAACCTAATATTGTATGATATAAACACCATTAAATACTTTGTCTTTCTAACTTTCATAGAGCTGAAAAAAGACAATGACAACTCCAAGCATGATAGAAAAAAAACTGAGAAGCCCAGAGAAAATGCCTCAGAATCACTCAGAATACAAGCAGTAAAGCTAATGATTCCTTTCAGAATATTGCTGAGTTTTTAGCAGGTCCATATTTCATGTATTTATGTTTATCACTCAAAAGAAGGATTTGTATGGGAAATGAATCAGCTGCTGATACTTTTCTACATTTAGAAGTCATCCTCAGTAAGGATTGTTCTTGCACCTGGAAAGCCTAGGAAACCTAAGGATAAGATACAGTGTGAAATACATGTTGGGACATTTGATTTTCAAAAGCATAGCCTTGCTGTGCTTTTGTTTACTGAGACAGAGTGCAATTGAAACTCAAAGACTATTCCATCATTTTTCACAGAAAATGCATCTGCATTTCCATCCAGTTTGAAAATGAACAAAGACAATCACAGCAGCAGCAAACACCAAAAGTTTGGACAGAGGCGAATGCAGAGGCACTGTGTCACCATGCAAGGCTGTTATGGCAAGCTTCATCACACATTAGCATCATTGAATCAATTTTTCTTCAAAGAAGCAGTCAATTCTGCTCCTTATATGAAAATTTTGCAACTCCACACATAATACATTTTGTGTTGGATATTCTCTATGAACATTTCAATGGTCAAGTAATTTCTCTGTGATATAAGGAACAGCATCATTGTGGTGTGACTTGACCAACACATGACTCTGATATTAACCTATGTGACTTTTTGTTGGGGTCATTTATGGGAGAAGCTTTTTCCAAGACTCCAAGACATCCCCCAGCTCTAATGGAGTCAAGGGTGATGACTTTTGAGTTGAGTAAATGAATTACAGAAGACCTTTGCCATTAAATTATGATGAACTTTAGTGTAAGATTACAGGAAGTGCACAAAAGCAAAGGTTCACAAATAGAGCATGTCATGAACAATTGAACCAATTTCCATTAAACACTCTTCCTAAAAATATTAATGCTATCTGCAAGTCAAAACAAAAATGTTCCTATTTTGACTACAAATATGCTAACATGTTTACTATTCTGTAGGATAGGACTGTTTTCTCAAAGACACAGACATAGGTATCACAAGAATTTAAATTGAGTGAGTCAATCTGGCTTCTTGCCTGGAATCTTACCACCAATCAAAATGTGACATGAGTTTGTGATATATAAAAATGTGACTAGAAAGGAAGAGGGAGTCAGGGACCAGATATGACAAAGAAAAAAAGAAAAATATCTGCATTGACTCAAACTTCCATGCATTTGTAAAAGTCTACTACTTTTCTATCTTACAATTAGAGTTTCCAATAGATACCCAAGAAGTCTCTCTTTGAAACAATTTAGACTTGAGACAGTGTGAATTTCATTTGGCATCCCGCTAAGAACCATGACAGTCTTGTATTTCACTGAATTGATGTTAAATTTTTTTGGCCATGACATAAAGATCTTCACTATTGATTCTCACTTGATGGTGATGAGAACTACAAATCAATTGCATCAAGAATTTTAAAGAAGTGGTGCCATGAATCTGCACATATAGTTATACATGTTAGAATCAATTTTTTTTCAAAATGTAGAATTTTCCATATAGAAGGGACCTGGAGGCCTGATGTATATTTCTTCCATCCAACCCCCACTCACTTTTCCTCTGTGCTACTTAAAAAGGGATTAAAATGGCATTGATGAGTCCAAGTAGAGATACAATAGACCATATGAGTATAAACAATTACAAAGCAAATGTTTCATATTGCCTTCAGTGAGCATACATCATGCAGTGGGGCATACATGCATACTTCCTTACTCATATGTTCTTAAAAAATGACAATAATTCTCTATGATCCCAAGGTATTCTTTGGCTGAGTCTCTCTTCAGTTTTTCTTGGATCTCTGGAGATCATGTATCTAGAATTCTGTCCTGTCTCCAGGACAAGAGTCAACCTGTGTGGAATACTTATTGTCCTGGGGTTTTTCGAAGATCAGCCTGCATTAGCTGAAACCCTGACTGTGAGTACCTGTGAGCAGGTGGCTGTTGAGCATGCATTTCAAGCATATCATATTTCATCCTGGGAAATTCCCAGTGTTCTTTCAAATGAAAACTAGTCAATTGACTCAACTCCTGGCCTAGCAAGGAGCCCATCTTGCTTATCATATAACGTCAGAAGACCTTTGCCCAAACATAAGCTCAATCTTCATACATTGTTTTTCATTATAGACAAGAGAAAGACACTAGGAAGAAAATCAGGACAACAAATGGGAAAAGTATGAGTTCCTCTGTCTAAGGCATCTAGACAGGAATAGCAACCTTATGATAGTAATTACAATTCAAGCTTCCCAAATAAAAACCAATACACTACATAACTGGTGGAATTACCTGAAACCCAATAACCAAAGGCAGTGTCTATTGGCTGAGCTAGCTCGGCCCTGACTTGAAGGACGAGCTGGAAAGTCACCTGACTTGTGACATCTCAGTTGATGAGACCAATACTCTATAGAAGAGAGCTTGGCCTCTAAGTTGTGGCCGACCTGGTTTTCTGAAGAGGAAAAGAATTTGTATGGTTAGGCTTAAGTCCTAAAAGATGTGTATTCTAGAGTGATAGCTTTCATCATATTACAAGTGCCATGTACATCTTTTCAGCAACTTCAACTGAAGAATAACTATTAAGATGCAGGATTTGACAAAATCCATAAAATCTATAGAGTTAAGGTATAGGGCTCATTCAAGGCCTTAGTTGTGTGTAGAGAAAAGAGCCCCTAATGGGTGATTTCAAAATTTGATTTCAATTTACCCATGTTCCAGCATGAGACATCTTAAATTAGTCAAGTTGCATGTATTCTACTTCCTAACCCATGATATAAGACCTTTTAAACAACCATGACATACTACAATAATATAGAGCTGTCTAGTTTTGTGCTAATGAGGTGAAAAAGATTGCTCAAAGTCTTCCCACAAGGCAAACAAAGCAGCTTCTCTACCTTGCAAGACATGCCTAGGTTTGATGGGCTGCAGGAAACTGTGTCCTGTTAGTAGTGAAGTTAGAGATCATTATTCCCAGCTCGGCCAATAGACACTGCCATAACCAAAAGCTCATGCGCATAGGCCTTGCCTACTGCAGAAACTGATTGACAATTGACTTATACTGTCCACTTAAGCAAGACAGATGTACGGCCTAGCACCTGTATGGCCTTAGTTTTTCATCTTCAGGGGGGTAAATCTACACCTCAGTCAACGTATTCTCAGAGAAAGTGGTGATGGTGGGAGGCACACCACATAAAAGTCTCCTTTTCGAACAGGGGCATGCACCAAACTGGCCACATAACAACGCATGCCTGGACATGGATCTCAGGTCGCACTGAGAGATGCCCAGCTGAACGCATAATCCTCCCCTTGCGCTCATATGAACCCAATATCCTGGGTCATGTAAGGAACTTGAGCCGGGGGCTGCTCCCTGGTCAAGTGCGCTAACGGTAGAGTAACGTGTGCGCGGAAAAGTTCAGTCTCGCGCAGCATTTGAAGAAACCTCATCGTGTTTGGTTTGTTCGCAACTAGATCACCTTGCAAGGATTCCAAGATCGCTACCAACTGCGCAATTCCTATCCCTCCCCCTCCCAACAGCCTTGAGACGCAGAACTGTCCGTCTGTTCGCCGACAAGCTGGCGGCAGCCCTATTTATTGTTCAGTCGGATATTCGATTGAGAACCCTGGGAGATGGGCTCAAACGAAAGCTACTCAAATACAGAAGTGCTGAAGAAGGCTAAGGACACGATGATTGATTTTGCTTAAAGGAATCCTTAACCGTCTCTCACCGTTGCGTACCGATGCCGTGGAAAAACTATGTTATGAGGAAGGAATGAATGTGGAAATTAATTGGTAGATTCTGAGATCGCCACGACTCAGGGCCGGATGAAGGGGGGGGGGGCTGTTTGCGGGCCCACTCTTCCAGAGGGCTCAGGAAACTTAAATTAATTTAACCCTTTCGTGTATGAATTTTTAAAGCAAAATAAAAATATGCCCTTTATGGTTTAACGTTTAAGGAGGTACTCTGCCGTAGTAGTTTCTTGAAGAATATGTTCCATAGTTTGATATTGATGTCTGCAGTCACAGTGTGGGCTGTTTTTCATTTTCCACCGGTGTAGGAGGTAGCTTCATCTGCCTAGGGATTTTCGG